ATTAGGTTTTAGGGGTTTAGGGTTTAGGGTTTATGGTTTAGGGTCTAGGGATTTTCTTATCTTGGGGTTTAGGGTGTATGGGTTACTGTAGGGGCCTTAATAATTAAAACAGGGTTTTGGGCCCCATTTTACTATACTTATAATAAGAAACCCCCAAAATAGTATAGGTAATTATTGAGGCCCCTATATTAGACTTGAAGATTATCTTATTGAAAGAAATTTGGGGTTTAGCGTTTGGGTTTGGGGTTAAGAAAGGGTTTGCGGTTTAAGATTGGCTTAGGGTTTGGGTGGTTGAACCTGATGACGACTGGCGGCAGCAACATGGCTTCACATATGCGAATTCTACCCTTTCCAAATCGTCCATCTCTGCAGATTGCTCGGCACTTCTAGCTTATGCGAGAGAACCGGTCCTGTTCCCGCTCCTCGCTCTCCTTCTGGCCCCTAAGCCCTAAACCCTAAACCCTAAAGGAGAAGAGGGAGCAAAAGGAGGAGCAGGCCGTCCTGTTCCCGCTCCTCGCTCTCCTTCTGGCCCCTTAACGGTTTAGGGTTTAGGGTTTAGGGGCCTGGCGCGAGGCTGGCGATCCTTCCGCGGAAGGCCAGAACTGTGTCTGCAAGCCGGGCACCACATAACTCTGCCAGAGGCACTGTCCGAGCTGCCACCTGTCGGCAGCACCGTGGCATCGTCGTCGGGAATATTTATCGGTACTCTTTGGAGTTCGGCAACACGACGAAGCCGTGCTTGTGATGCCTGCAACAACTCCGCAAGGACGAAGCCGTTCTCGGTGGGCGCAGTGTTGGGTGCTTCCAGTGATGTTGGGATGTCGCAAGAACTCAAAATTGTTTCCCACTGCGCTTCTAAATTCTGCAAGGTGTGGAACCACCCAAGCATCGGAAAAGCCAGGCTCCAATTTGTTGAAAAAGAAGCTCCTTGCCCCGCCAGTAGTAGGGCCGACGAAACAAATTGAGGTTCCCATTGGAGATGCAGGCTCGCACGTCGGCACCTGTGATTCCCGCCGCGTGCAAATACAATCTCACCAATGCTCGCGCCTGGGCTTCTCCATGTTGAACGACCAGGTCGTTCGTAAGAGTGCCAACATCCTCCGTGGCACGGTTCACGGGGATATACTCCACGATCTCCCCGAGGCGGTTCTCCCCTGGGGAAACTTCGGCCAGCGGCCCTGCAATCAATTCTCCGCTCTCTTCTTCTCCAAGCACCGGTATCAACTGCATTAGGTCCTCGACAGCCCCTGGGCAATTTGCAAAATATGCGTAACGCTGGCGTGGTTCTGGGGTTTGCTGGCATAACCCAGGCTAGCTCAACAATGAAAGCAGTAAACTGTTGGGTTTGATCGGCGTCACAAAATTTCAAAAACCCTAAACCGGGTCATAACAGCGCTTCAAACCCGCTGAACTCAAACCCTGAAGCCCCAACCTCACGAGGCCAAACCTTAAGCCCTGTTCGGCTGAGTTTCGCAGTTCAGAAACCGAAGAGAACGCAAACATTCAGGGTCAAAGAAGATTCTAAAATCTCCAAAACCCCAAACCCTAAACTCTAAACCCTTAAACCATAAATCCTTCAGGTTTACAAACGCAGCCGCGATTTAAAGGAAGTCTTTCCACCCGAAATCCCCAAGCAGAACCCCTCAAGGTACCCTTAGTATTGGTTTAGGGTTCAGGGATTATTAGATGCCTCAAAACTCAAACATTATTGAAGGAACCCTGAGAAAGAACCCGGAAACAGAGCCCTCGAAAAACCGTTGGAAACCTGTACCAGCTTTGAACAGAAGTCGAAAAGGAACTCTTCATTTATTTTTTGCGAGATTAAATGGCCCTTAACAGGAACTGTTCAGAGCCTTTAAAATAAGATCTAAAGGGTTTCCTAAATCCTACACCCCTAAACCCTAAAACCCTAAAGCCCTAAAGCCCTCAAACCCTAAAGCCCTCAAGCCCTAATGCCCTCAAACCCTAAAGCCCTCAAGCCCTAAAGCCCTCAAACCCTAAACCCTTAAACCCTAAGCCCTAGATCTTAAAACCCTATAACTCCCTTAATGGAGCCCTTAAAGGAATCGTCCAAAAATGCCTTAAAGGAACCCCTTACACCCTAAAAAGGTTTAGGGTTTAGGGATCTATGGTTTAGCTTTGGGGTTTAGGGTTTAGGGCTTTAAGGTTTTAGGGTTTAGGGGTTAGGGAACCCTAAACCCTCAACCCTACGCCCTGAACCCTAGCCCAAGATCTTAAAGGGGGACCCAAGGCGCCTCCTCCCAGGCGACCAGGGCTTTCACGAGGCGCGGGTTCTTGCTGAGCTGGGGGTCGACCTGGCTTCTGCGTTTCCTTCTCTAAGGGCTTCCCTAAAGGGTTTAGGGTTTAGGGGTTGCGGGGTTTAG